TGGGGTTGGGAGCAGCCCAGATGCAGAGGGCACCCACATCAGAGTGAGCTGTGGGTCCCGGGTCTCTGTGCCCCACCGTGGCAGTCTGGCTGCCACCCCAGGGCAGCCACAAAAGCGTCACCGGGCCCCAGGCCCTGTGCAGGGCATGGGAGGAGGGGGCAGAGCACACGTGTTCTGGGTCGCTGTCCGCCTCAGAGGAGGTCTTTTCTGCTGGCGGGCAAGCCCCGGGGGTGACTCCAGTCTGGCTCTGGGAGGCCAACGTATTCTGCAGGGAGGTGGGGCTGGCCCCAGCTCTGCGGCTGGGACCCCAGCCCTGTGCCAGCCAGTGGCTCCTGGCTCCTGGTCCTCAGCTTGGCTCTCGGTCCTAGGTCTTTGGAGTCAGACAGGCTGAATTCAAATCCTGACTCCCCCACTTGCAAGTGTGTGACCTTGAACAAGTCACTTCTCTTCTAACCCAGGAAATGGGGGCAGCAGAGCACCCACGGTGGAGGTGGAGGTGGTGGGGGTTGCTGCGAGGGTGCAGTGGTGTGGGTGCCGCCAGCCTCTCCTGCTGCGGACAGCAGTTTCCTCTGATGCATCCGCACCTCCCAGTCCGGCCCCAGTCCCTGGCACTGCTCGGCCCCATGGCAGCCAGGGCCAGTGGCTGGTCCAATTCCTGTCCATCTTAACAGGGCCAATAACACAGTGTTGTCTGCTGTGGTAACTGTATAAATAGGGAGGGAGCTGAGACATCCCAGCTGTGCTGCCCCAGCCCAGACGGAATGTCCAGTGGGGACCTCTCTGAGGTGGGTGGCCGCCACATGGTGGGCATCTAGGCGCCATCCAGCTGGGCTCCTCCCTCCTATGGGCACCCCAGTGCTGCCCCAAGTGGGGCCTTAGAGCCAAGTTTGGGGTCAGCTCAGCTTCTTGGGCACATCAGTGGTCCAGGCTCTGGGCCAGGAGCCTCCTCACAACCACCATCATTACCCCTAATCACAGTCAGGGAAACTGAGGCCCAGAAGGTAAAAGGCTTGCCTGAGGCCACCCAGCTGGTAAGTGGCAGAGCCAGGGTTCCGAGTCTTCTGGCCCCAAGCCCCCACACTCTCCTGCTTATGCCACAGCTGCCTGTCATGTGGCAGAGCTGGCAGGGCCGCCGGGCCTGCATGGGCCCACCGATGATGGGACCTGGGATACGCGGTGAGGTGTGCCAGGGAGACAGCGGGAGGAGGGGGGCGGTGAGGCGCGAGGAGGTCGCTACAGTCTGGTGCTGAGCATTCTCAGAGAGTGTTGACCCTAGAGGGGACATCAGGCAGGGAAAGCCGCAGCCTGGGTACTCTGGGTCCAGCCATACCTGCATCTTGCCTCGCTGGCTGCCAGATGCCAGAGTATCTGCCTGGAGTAAAGAAAAGTCTGACGATATGATGGCCTGTGTTCGAATCCTGCCTCGCCGCTTCCCAGCGGTGTGATGTCTGAGAAGCAGTGCAACACTCTCAGCTTCAGATTCTTCCTCTAAAATAGAGATAAAACCTCACTGACAGCAGTGGTGTTACAAATAAATAATCCGGGCAAAGCTTTTAGCTTAGGACCTGGCACATAGTAAGTGCTCAGTTTTATCATTATTTTCATCACCTGACTCTCAGTGTCTCTTTCTGCAGCCACAAAATGAGGGCAATAATGTACTTCAAAAGGTTACTGTGTGGCTTAAATAAAATACACCTCCATCCCCGCGTTCCATCGTTCTGCTGCGGTTTACTGAGCTGCTCCTGTGCACTCTGCTCCGGCTGCTGGGGACTGAGCCCCCGGAGCAAGACGCACTTCCTCCTCTGATGGGTTTAAGTCTGATGGGGAAATCGGACATTAAATACATGAATAATACAAATAAGTGTCTAATTGCAGTTGTGGAGCATGCTAGCGTGCCAGCCATATATAGGGCGTAGCACAGCATTGGCGCAGTACAAGTGGGAGGTGGCTATCCTTGATCTCATTACTGTTTTGGCACTTAAATATTTCCAGTTATGAGCTAATAACAACACTGAAAAGATTCCGCTGGATTTGTGCGGGATTAACTGTAGAAGAATTGCTGCATATGGAGCCGTTTTTGTTGTGGGAGTGAAAGGCTGTTTATACGGAGGTTCTGCACGGGCGCTGCCAAGGATCAGGGTCTCCTCAGGCCACGGGGCCAGGAGGCCTCCTTTGGGAGGCCCCTCCATCCTCAGCATGTCACGGCCATGGCCTGTGCTCTTAGGCCCTGGGGAGTAGACGTGTGGGAGTCTGCGTAGCTTGTGGGGGGATCGATAAGCTGATGTTGGAATTTGCTCTTATGTGGTAGTGAGCTTCCCATGCCCTCAGGTGAAAGCAGGGGCTGGGGGTGGAAACGCTGTGCTGAGCTCCTCCTGGCCTCTGTTTGCAGAGCTCTGGGCCCGAGAGGAAGCCGAGGGGCCCGCTCTGGTCCTCACAGGGCAGTGTAGGGCAAGCCTCCCATGCTACGGGGGTCACTTGAGAAAAGGTGACTCCCCACGTGTCTCTGATGGCAGTGGGTGGGTCAGAAAATACAGGCGCCCAGACAGACCTACGCTCAAACCCACACACCCACTGTGAGGCCTCAGGCAGGTTTCTTAACCTCTCTGAGCTTTAGTTTTCTCCTCACCCCCGGCTTGATGGGAGGATCACAGGAGTCAGAAGGGTGAGTCTCCTTGGAGTAGACCCCCGGTCATCAGCTGCTTCCCTCTCCCTGCCTGTTCCTCGGTGTCTCTGCTCCTGGCTGGGCATGCACTCTGCCACTCAGTCCGCTGGGTTCAAGTCTGCACAGAGACTGCATCAGGAACAAAGCCCCCTGACGTCCCTCATCTCACACGCTCACGCTCAGCACTAGAGGATGCTTTCTGTCGTGGCTGAAGCACTAATGGGCTTTTCAGGACTGCTGCTGCTGAATCCTTGCGGAGGCGACTGACTTAGATTTTTAAGAGGGGAGAGGAAAAACAAGGTTGAGAGAAAGAATAAATCTATGAATGTCAACCTATAAACTTGGAGCTTCTTTACAAGGAAAACTATTTCTAATTATTAAAATTTTGGGAACATGGTGCCATTAGAAAGAAAGGAAGTAGAAATAGCTCCTATGAGAAGTGCTAGCATATGTTTCTGTGATTTAACGGTTTCCTGTAACAATGAGTAGCTATTTTAAAAGCAGATGAATGACTCATGGTATCCAGCACAGTGGTCTTCTGTGATGGCAGGAAGCATGTACTCCAGGGAGCAGACTTGGGTTCAACTCCCATCTCCAGCGTTTACCAGCTGTGTGACCTTGAATGAGTTATACTCACTGAGTTATACAACTGAGTCTCCTTTTCCTCCTCTGTAAAATGGGTTGTTGTGAGGATAAATAACACAATGAATGTATAAGTCAATACAGTGCTTCATCCCAAAGCCCACAACTTATCATACTAAGCATCTGGTTAATTACATTGTAATAATTCTTAGTAGCTTAGTAGGAAACTTTTAAGGCTATAAATTTTCCTCTGATTACCATTTTGGTCTGATCCCATAAATTTTTATATGTGGTGTTCTTATTGTCATTGCCTTTGAATAGATTTTTACCTAAGAGTTGCTTATGAGTGCGTGTATGCATGTGTGTGTGTGTGTGTGTGTGTGTTTTCCAAATGGTTAGAATTTTCTTCTATGTTTATTACCAAATACTTGGTCAAAGAATTTGGATAACATAGTATTTACTTTTTCAAATTTATTGAGCTTTTCTTTATAGTTTAGCACATTTGTATAAGCATCCCATAGGTATTTGAAAAGAGTTAAGTTTTCATTTATACAACACCAAGCTTATTTATTTTGTTACTCAGATATTGTATTCATATATGCACATATATACATGTATCTATGTACATACCTATATATGTATGTATATGTGTATATTTTTGTATGTACACACATATGCACATGCTTGCAGACACACACACAAATTCTAGAAAAGATGTGCCAAAGCCTCCCACTACGGTGTGGCTTTGTTGAATTCACTTTTCATTTCTTTGCTTTTTTGTGTGTGTATATGTTGATGCAATCTTGTTTTGTGCATAGGGATTTATAACCATTAGATCTTCTCAATCAACTGTGCTTTTCATTAATATCACTCCCTTTTCCGTGTTCAGTGTTTTCTTCTTTACATTGCTACTCTTGTTCAACCTCACCAGTATTACAGGTACAGTGGCAGTACTCAGGGAGGGCTGCTGGGGTCATGCCCACTGTCCATCCACATCTCCAGAAAGCCTGCATGCTGCCCTGCAGTAAGTGGGTCACACTGCACAGCCAGTCCTCTCTTGTCCTTGACCAGGGGGCTTGTCATGAATTCCCACTGGGGTGATACCATGAGGCCGTGCCAAGCTCAACCCTGGCCTATCACAGTGATGTTTTTATATCACATGTTATTTTCATATTAAGCACCGTTAAGAGAATTCCCTGTCTAGGCTGAGTTATTTGTACCAAGGACTGTTGCTTTTTTGATTTCTTCTTTTGTCCCTTCATTTATGATTTGGGGGCGTGTGTATATATGTATATGTGTGTATGTGTGTGTGCAGATAGATAAATAGGCAGACATACAGCTACCTGAATAAATGAAAAACTGAATTCAGGCCAAATGGGTGTTCTCCTGGATATGACACCTTAGACCTATTCGACTTCATCGGCTGGTGAAAGACACAAGTATTCATTCATCCCTCTCATGTCCTGTTATTTTCCACTTGGGTTACAGGCAAAAACCCTTGTTGCTGGAGAGAGTGTGGACTAGAAATGCTAAATCTTGCCAGCATTCATTCTGGTGATTGCTCAGATGTTTGATTTACAGGAAAGCAGTCTATGTTAAAATTCAGTAGTCAGGATTGGAATTGCAATCCAAATAGTATCTCAGTTTTTCATAACTCACCTTTCATTCCTTTTAGCAGCTAAGTGCTGTTTTGCATAATTTCATTCCAATTAATGGTAAGTGCTTACCATCATTAACTATCTCCTTTAAATTCCAGGGATCTATCTTCTGGATTTAATCTACATCGATTCTGCATATCCTGCCTCAGGCAGCATCATGGAAAATGAACAAAGATCCAATCAGATGAACAATATCCTCCGAATTATTGCTGATCTACAAGTTTCCTGCCGCTACGGTTAGTACCCCTGGTTGCTGGAATTGTGATGTTTTATATCACTGAAATTTGGGTCCAGCACCTTACCAGTGAGACAGCTCTAGAAACCAGGTGGTCCCACAAAGGTCTTCATTTTAATATCTTGAGCATCAAACGTGGGCTAGATCCTTTACACACACACTTGATCTTCAAAGACTATGCAAACCGATAGTACCGTCCCTGAATTACAGATGAGGAAACGGGCTGAAAACAGTTGACTCACTTGTCTGAGACCACAGACACCAGCCCTGTCCAGCTCCAGGCTATTATTCCTGAAGAGGTTTGGGGGCAGTTCCTGGCAGCTCTCCTCCAAGTAGAGCTGGGGACCCAGGCTCCTCCATCTGTGGCTCTGGGGTGGGGGGCGTCCCGTGGTCTCAGAGGCGTCCACTGCATTCAACATCAGCTGGCACATGCAGAAAGAAAACATCACATAGAGTGGGTTTTGTGGGCCGGGCTTGCCTGTGGCGCTCATCACTTCTGCTGAGGGAGGCTAGGGACGTTATCCAGCCGGAGCCCCAGCCCAGGGACGTCTTGCTGGAGCGCAGTAAAAGCTGCCTCTTCCTACAGGTATTTTCACTGGCATCTTCCCGATCATCAGCCCCGTGAAGCAGGTGTCCTTGTCCCCATTTCGGAGACGAGAACACTGAGGCTCTAGAGAAACAAAATGACCTGTTCTGAATCTCGCAGTGAGGGGGCAGAGCCATCAGGTGCTCCCCTCAGCACCTGGACACGCACCCCCAAGAAACAGAGCCGTTCCCCACCCTCTTTCTGCCCCTCTTTGCAGCCTCCACTGCTGCCTCCACCTCTCCCCTTACCCTGTTCTGTTCCACCTGGTGGGGAGCACCAGAGAGGGTCGGGGGGGGTCTCCAGCCCCCTCAGAGGAAGTGCAGTAATGTAAGAGTCTGTGGAGAGCGGCTGGCATGGTCACCCTGGGAAAGAAGCAGCGCAGCGCGGCAGAGGCCTGGGGCGGCTGGGGGCGGAGCCCGGCGCTGCGAGCTGTGCGGCTGCCGTAGCGCCTTCCTCTGCGCAATGGGCGTCTGACTTCCCCCAAGTGAGGCAGATGTGAAGGTTAAAGCAGACGCCTTCTAGGCATCACCTGGGACAGAGCCTGGCCCGGAACAGGTGCGCAGGCCTCTAGGCCCTTCCCTTCCTCCTCAGGACAAAGCAGACAGCCCATGGGCCAGACTTGAAAGCTGTGCCAGGGCCTAGGTCGGGCCTCCACACCAGGCTGGATGGGTGTGTTCATTCATTCTTGCATTCTTGTCGCATAGTGGGTGGGCAGGTGTGGGAGGGCCCAATTACCCAGCAGGAACCTGTTTTAGGGCACAGGCCCCTGGCTCTGGCCTGTTTCTGGAGGCCATCTTTCCCCAGCTAAGGAACTGGGTGACCTCAGGTGTGTCTGCAGCCCAGCCATCATGGAGCAGTGGGCACTTGAGGGCAGAAGGCAGGCCAGATAGGATGACCCCCGTGTGCCCAGTGCCCAGCACAGGGCCTGGCCCAAGGGACCCTCAGCAACTGCTGAAGGATTGAATACATGCCTGAATACCCAAGGAGCATCTTACACTAAGCTCTGTGATGCCTACATTTCTCATTTGCGGCTGGAGGTGGGGAGAGACCGAAGCCTCTGGGTTTTGTCCACTTTTGCAGATCACCTCACAACCCTGCCCCACGTGCAGAAGTACCTGAAGTCTGTGCGCTATATCGAAGAGCTCCAGAAGTTTGTGGAAGACGACAACTACAAGTAGGTGCCCCCTCTGTCACCTGGCCCTTGTTGGGACCAGTGTGTCACCACCAGCAGGCCTTATGAAAGGTCCCTGCAGCAGCACCCGTGACCCAGCACACACAAGCACACACATGTGTTGTGACCTCTGACCCACAGTGATGCTGTCTAAGCATCTCCTCCCTCTGGCCTCTGGCCCAGCCCCACCAGCTCTGTGGTTCCGAGGAAAGTGTCTTGTGAACTTCTCGGTGTGGCTTTCCTGTATCACATGGGTAACAGGACTTTGGACTCCACAGCCTAGCGTGGTGCAGGCTTTGTGCTGCGTTCTCATGAGTAACCCCCCGACTCTTGGTGCTGGGTAGAAGGGCAGCTCCCACTTTCTGAGGGACCCCGGCTCACTGGCCCTGGCTGAGCCCCCACCTCCACAGCCCACCCAGCTCTTTCAGAGGCCAAGGCCCCTGTGGGCCCTTGGGCCTCATCTCTTCACCATGCTCTGGCTTTTAGTTCTTTCTTCATCTGAGGCACCTGGGGATTTATCCAGCAGGTCTGTCTGTCTGCCCAATTGATTGGATGGCCTCTTGGCTCATTTTGAACTTGACGTCCACTAAGAGCCTCAGTCCTTTTTGTATAACTGGATTTATCAAAGCAAGTCTCAGCCATTTTGCCATGGATCATTTACCTCCTAGATCTCAACTTCACATATATTCTTTTAAAAGTCACCTTACTGGTCGCTTCCAGCATATAATGTGATTTTCTGACATCCTATATGTTTGTTTACTCTCTTCCAGTTTCATGTCTGAAAATCTACTCAGTTTGATTATTTGTTCTTTATCTAAGTCATTAAAACTGTAGAGAACTGTGGCAACTAGAGACACCCCCAGGTTACCCCTGATTCACTCACCAGGTCTTCGGGAATGTCTGTGCAGACAGCCGCACATCTGGCCACCACTCCGGTGGTGGTTCTCAGCCTGAGCTATGAATCAGAGTTGCCTGGGAAGCTTTCTAACCATCCATATGTCTCGGGGAGAGCCTGGAAATTTATATTTTTTCAAAGCTCTCTAGATGGTTCTCATGATTGGGTATCTTTGGGGGCATAGACATAATTCTTTAGTTGTTATCATATAATATTTTGCTAGAATATATAATACAGTATTTTGGCCTATTATTGAATAGTAACAACAATAGATGAGGCCAGAGATTACCATTAAAGTTATGTTTGCTATAAATTAAGCTCATTTTACTTACAAGACATTTGCTGTTCCTGAAAAGAGTACCCCAGAGCATAAAATATTCCCACTTAGGTTCTGGGATAATATTTTCCATTCATGTGCCAGTAGTGCAATTAAAGAGACAGCAGTTTTTCATTAACGCTAATATCCTTTAAGGGGAAAAATGGTCTATAAATACTTGTGGCCATGAGATAATCCTTGGACAAGCTGCAGATCATGAGTAATTACTCCTTCCATTCTGAAGAACACTGAACACCCCCAGCCCTTCATGCTAAACAATAGTCAGCCTGGAATTAACAAAGGCCTTTGCTGAGGTCCAAGTGGGCAAACCCAGAGAGGCCACCCACCCTCTCACCCCTGGGCCCAGACCACGGAGGGGGTCCCTTCCCAGGGAAGCTCTGGCTCTGCCTGACACGGACTGGCTGGGCTTGCGCTTCTGCTTGAGGAGCCCATCCTCCCCTGGCACCCAGTGGCTTGTTCCCCTCCCCAAAGGACACAGGGGCTTGGTTTTGACCTTGATGGCATTGCATTTCTAACACCCTGCCTCCATCTTCTTTGGAGGCATTGCCCAACCAGTGCTTTTTTTTTCTCAGCCCTTAGGCTATTTTATTTTATTTAAGAAAACTTACCCCAATTCCCACCACCTAGGAAGCATGACCATTAGCATTAAGTGAACATAATTTTTCTATGGAGAGAAAGTACGTATGTATAACACAGAGAGAAGGATGGGCAGATGGATGGATGGGAGGGCAGAATTTATCAAAATTGGCTCATGCCATGCTTGCTATTTTTAATTGCAAGTATTAACTTTCATTCTATTTTAATTTAAACCAGCAAAAGGCAGTGAGGTAAAATATAAGGAAGTGCTACTCTTCAAATAAATATTTCTTCACCACAAGAGAGAATATTTCTTAAAAGAACCTTCTAAGATTGACAAGAGAGGTCAGGAAAAGCAGTGAGAGGTTGGGGTCGGTAACTCCCTTCTAAGCAGGTCTCTGTCTCAGCAAGTGCAGTGACTCTGGTTATGGAAACGAGACCGTCAGCCTTCTTCTGTTCCTTCCCCTCACCTTCACCATGTCCCAATTTTCTTGTCAGTTGTATTATTATTATCTCTACATAGTCCAAGTTGATAAGGTGCACACCCTGCCAGGAATCAGCAAGCCTCCTGTTCAGTGCTTTGAAACAGATTCAGTCCTTATCACCTGTTGTTTCTCCACCGCGTCTCCATTCCTGGAGTCTTTATTTTAAATAATCCTTTGTTTAGCTGCTTTTCACCACGAAGGAGGCTTTCACGGGTCCTACATGGTCTGATTTCTTTCGTGAAAGTGCCCACAGCCGCCTTGCTAGGCCGTGCTCCTCCGGGGCTCATGGCCTGCCGCCTGGCCCTCTGGCACTGCCCAGGGCTGTAGAGGAGGCTCAGACCCAACAGGGTCTTTCCTGTCTGCTGGGTGGAGATTTCCTCGAGGTGCCCAAGCTCAAGGGGAAGACCCCAGGGCAGGGGGTCCCCGCCAGCCTTCCCCAGGGCACACTGTGCTTTCTTCCTCTCAGAGCAGCTCCTTGGGCCCCCGCCTGCCTCCGTCTCTGTGCCATTCCCTGGCTTTCCTCCCTCGGGGAATCATGTGTCGGGTACCCTCTGCCTTCCATGTCCACTAGCTTCTTTGATGGCTGCCGTCTCCATCTTTTTCAGCGGTTGTCACACGGCTGATCTGTTTCTACTTAGGAAGCCATTCAGTCCTTGCCTGAGGCAGCCCTCGGCTGGCTCCGCTAGGTCCCCAGTCTGCCTCGCCACCCTAGTCCTTGGTGCTGTCACCTCCGTTTCCAGGTGCTGCTTTATTCAGCCCTGTTCTGAAGGAGCTGTTCCGTCCAGAGCACTGGGGCCGCCGTGTGGCCCGGGCTGCCCTCTGGGCTGTGCCTGGAATCTTCCTCCCTCCTTCCTCTGGGAGAGGGTGTGTGCTAGGTCGCCTCACTTCCACCAAGAGACTCCATCCGGAAAGTCCATGGCTTGATAGAGGGAGGTGACATCTGACCCTGCTGGCATGTGAGTGACATGGGCTGGCCTCCCCCTGCTGTGCCGTGAGGCCCCCGGCTGCCTAGTCCTGCCCTTCCTCTGTAGCCCCCGGGAGAGCAAGGCTCATTTAGAGGAGGGAGCTCAATGGAAGGCCTGTGTCAGGGTTTCTCCACCTGGTTGGGACTTGGCCCACTGCAGACTGGGGTGCCCTCGGGCTTCAAATCCACTGCCAAGGGAGTGTTCCTGCCCATCAGAGTATCCACCATGCTCCCCACCCACTTCATCTATTCCCCTGGCATCTTGTGCCACTCAGAAGAGGGGAGGCAAGTAAGGACCCCCTCTCAGACCTACTGAGACGTCTCAGAGGGCAGCGAGCTGTGCCATGTCACAACTCTTGGTCAGACTTCAGAATCCTCTTTTTGTCATTGGCTGCAAGCTTCTGAAGGTCATGGCTTCAGTTAATCCCCCTCCCTTGTTGAGTTGCAGCTGGTAAGTTCTTTTACTCCTAAGCCTGTATACTTGCTTGTTGGTTTTATTGGGAGGGGAATCTGGTATCTGGCTTTACTCTGTCATTTTGACCCAGAGGTTCTTAATTGGTGCTTAGAAGATAGTAATATTGAGGTGCCAGCCCTCGTTACCCATCCATGGCCTTGTGCCTCTCTGGGGGCTTCTGAGAGAGGGTGTGATGTGTTGGCTTAGGACCCCGGGCTCAGGCCAGGCGGTCCTGGGCTTGCTGTCCCGCCCCGTCTGCCACTAGCCCTTCAAGTCTGGGGAAGCTGCCTAACCTCCGTGCTACTCAGTTTCCTCATCTATGAGACGGGGTCGGTAAGCGTGCCCGGGGCCCAGGGCTGTCTTGAGAATGACCACGCTCGTGCCCAGCAGACGATGGGCCACGGTTGCTCTCTGGACTGTGTCTTCCTTAACTGGTGTTTCTTGGTCATGGGAATCCCCAGGGAACCTCAGAAGGAAGCGGGATCTGGAGCAGACCTCAGAGCGTTCCTGGGTTCTGTGACTAGAGTCGCCCTCAACAGCAATCCGGCCCCCCAGTTCTGAACACGCATGTGTTCAGTTCCCCCTCTGGTACACCAGAGCCCATCTGACATTGTGAAAATCTTTGTTTTCAGACTGTCACTCAGAATTGAACCAGGAAGCAGCTCCCCGAGACTCGTCTGTTCCAAGGAAGATCTTGCAGGTATTGTGGCCACCTGGGGTCAGGGCAAACTGCTGATAGCCCAAACATGGCTGCCAGGGTTGATGTTGACTGTGGAGCCAGAGGGCACACTTGAGTTTGCAGGTTGGCGGTCTCAGCTGTCCCTGCCCACATGCAGCCCTTCCACACCAACCCGTGCAGGCCCCTGATCACTTGGGGCCTTTGAGGAACTCCTCTGTGCTGGGCTTCCTGGAAGAGCCCCAAGAGATCAGAACCCCAAGCTACCTGCACAAACAGAAAACTCTAGGGTCTTCTGCAGGTCAGCTGGACCCTTATCATTGGGCCTGCAGTCCAGGTGCGGGTTGGGGTGCCCTGGAGGGGTGCACAGCATGCCTGGGTATTTGGTACTACCAGGCCCAGAGGGCTCCCTCTCCTGGAGCATCGGTTTTGTTCACATATTTGGGACACACATACAGCGTCCCTAGTGACCGAGAGCCTGGGCTTTGAAACCAAGCCTGAGCTGTGCTGTTCCTCGCTTTGGCGCTTCTCCTCTGTGTTCGTCGGTGGTCTCAGCCACAAGACGGAGCTAAGAGCAGACTCCCCTTGCAGAGCTGCCGTGACGCCCGGGCAGGTGCATACCTGTGAAGTGCTCTGCCCATGCAGGCACACTGTGCGCGTGGGCACCGTACTGGCTGCTCTCTTGTCACTGCTGTAATGGCAGCCTTCGCTTACACTCCAGCCACCTCCCAGTAACGGAGGCTGACCTCGCTGCTGCCCGGGAGGGACCAGACTGGGGGCAGGGCTCCCACCGTCCTTCCTCGCCCGGCTTTGAGCTTGGGCCTCACCAGCCTAGGTTCTAGGCCACTGCAGTCTCGGGCAAATGACTTCACCCCTAAGGACCGCAGTTTGCTTACCTGTAAAATGGAGATAATAAAGCCTCCATCCTGGGGTTGCGAATGTCAAAATTGAAGTGATATTTGGAAGGCGCTCAATGTAGAACCTAATGGTCAGTGAGCATTGGGCAGGAGGGGCTGTCGCAGCTCCTGCCTGGTGGTGGCTCACCTTCAGCCTGTGGACCTGCTCAAGCTGTGCTCTCCACTCTGCGGAGCCAGGCTGGTGCAGTATCACATCTCCCACCAGGCTCAGTGCCATGGTGCCTACAAGAGGCAGTGTCGCCCCCCTCCCTAGCTCCACCAAGCAGGACCTCCTCCCTGACTGCCGGGGTTTCCTGCCGGCGACCATGTGCAGGCAGGATCCAGTCCCTAGCCCTCCTGGGGGACCCAGGCTAACCTAGCAGAAGGGGACACTGGTTGAGCCGCAGAACCTTGGGAGGAGCTGCCGTCCACAGCTCAGGAGACAAGTCCTGGCCTAAGCCTGATTTCCACAGGGTTCCATCAGCTCAATGCTAAAACATCTTCTGCAGTCTCATCCCTAATCCACGGCCTTGCACACAGATGACCTTCCAGCAAGGGAGACCGGGGAGAAGCTGCAGGTCCCGGCCTCATCTCCACCTGCGCGGCTCGTCCTTGTCCTGGAACACCTTCCCTCCTCAGCCAGCAGGGCGCCTGTCCGCTGCGCGGTCACCTGCACCTGGCCTGCTGGGGGGCTCGGGGGTGGTCCCCAGGAGGGATGCGGAAGGAGCAGCAGGAGAGTGGGCTCAAATACCCAGACATGCTGCCCTTCTAAGTCTCCTCCAAATTAGTTTGACCAAGAGGCCTCTGCCATCTAATCTGGTTCACTTGGCCAAGAGAAGCCAAGTGTCTGGCCTTTCCCGGGGGCGGAGAAGTCCCCATGGCCACACTTCCTGTCTACCCTCCGGGCAGTACCAGAGGACTCATCTCCCAGTGCCCCGTTCTGCACCCTGATGCTGCTCCTTCTGCCCCTGTGGGCCTGCCCAGAGCCTCCTCCCTTTCCCCTGCATGCTGGAGCCATTGAGCAGGGAGAAATGGGAGGGCCAGGGGTCGTGTCTCAGCCTTGGCATGAGGGGCTGGCTCGGCCCCTGTCCCGCAGGCATCTCCATTCATAGGCCAAACTCAAGCCTCATCTCTGCTGGAAAGTTCCCCACTCAGGCCCCTTGCACAAGCTTTGGTTGCCTTTCTGCTCCTAAGCCCATGGTCTGCTCTCTCATCATTCTAAACTCAGAACCTTCATTTTAGCTCCTAGTGTATAGCACTCACCTCAATTTGTGGTTTTTCTCTCGGTTCACTGGACCTGATGAGGTCCTTGTTGGACCTCCAGCACCTGGCACAGTGCTTGCCCTGTGTAGGTGCTCCACCCTCATGGGGTTCACGAATGAATGGGAGGCAGGTCCAGGCCAAGGCCGCACGTGGCCTTGTGTGCAGCCAGCCTGGAGCACAAGAGGCGCTTGTTGCTGCCGCCTCGTGCCTGAGTCTCAGAGAGCCTCCTCCTGCCCAGCGCCCTCCACTCCAGGCCCCTCATCTGCCAGCCTCGCCCTCCCCAACACCAGCCATTCAACAAGCCTGGGGCTGTTTGCTTTCAGGGCAGATGGAGCAGGTGCTCCCTCTTCCCCTCCGGGCCTCTGCCTGACCCAGGCGGTCCCTTCTCTTCCCTGGCACCTGCTCCACTACCTTCACCCCGAGGAAGAGGCCAGGGCCCTGACTCTGCACCAAGCACCACTGGCTCCCCCTGCCGGGCTGGAGGTGGTGACCCAGGAGCCAGGCTCAGACAACTAACACCGCTAGGTGGGGGCCTCCAGAACCAGGCCAGTCGCCGAGCCCCCGGGCAGCAAAGGAGGATCAACACTTAGTTTGACCCCTGGCTGTGGAAGCCAGGGCCTGGGAGCCAGCACGCAGCCCCTGCCAGGCTTCCTCAGCGCTCAGCTGGACGCACTTTCCTTTCCATCCGCCATCATTCCTACTTGGCTCTGTCGTTTGTTAGCTGTGTGTGACCAGAACCCGGCAAATTAACTGCCAGCATCAGTCAGAATCCTGGCAGGGAACAGAATTGTCCCTGGATGGCTCATTTGAAGAGACTTTAATGAAGGTGAAGTGGGACTAGGAATGAGTACTTTGCGTGAAGAAAGATGAGCCCAGCCCCTCAGGGCTGAGGAACCCAGGGAAGAAAAATTGTCCTCAACTCTACCATTGCAAAAGGCAAGGACTCAGCATCTCAGGGGGCAAACAAAATACCTGGCCTGCCTGCCAAGCCTCAACCTGTCCATCTGTAAAGTGGCCGTAATGGTATTACTTCACAGGGGTGTTGTGGGAATTCACTGTGATCATGTGTGCAAAACCCTCAGCACAGTGCCTGACACAGGACAGTCATCAAGTGTGACCTTAATCAGGATGACGTCACACTGTCAAATCATGATTCCCTCTGTCCCCGACTCAGCCCTCAGGTCTAAGCCGACATCTGCCTCAGGGTCCTCCCGCCTTCCCCCACCCCTTCCCTGCCAGGTCAGGCCCCCGGTTATACCAGGGGTTGGCCAACTATGGCCCGAATCCACCCACCCCTGTTTTTGTGTAGAGCACAGCCACACCCACCCGCTGACATATTCTGTGGCTGCTTTCACTCTACCGTGGCAGAGCTCAGTGGTTGGGACAAAGACCCTGTGGCCTGCGAAGCCTAAAATAGTCCCTCTCCACCCCCATGGCTCTCTGCCTTTCCCCATAGCGCCCCCTCCGTGGCCTTCAGTTGCCTGTGCTTCCTTGGCCCCCAGACTGAAGGCCCTCTGAGGTAAGGACCCAGCCAGGAGTCCCCAGAGCCTGGCCCTTAGGGGCCCTGGGTGAACACCCGCGGTCGCCTGCCCTCGCCCCAGCCCTGGCCTCTGAGCTCCCTGCTGGGCCTTGTGGGCACCTGGGCCTCGTGGCTCCAGAGCCGCTGACTGCTGACTCCACGCCGCCTTTCGGGGAAGTCCTGAAGCTGCAATTTTCACGCAGGGAAGCAAGCCCCAGCTCACAGGAGGGTTCGCCACCCATTTTCCGAATCCCCGGCTCCAGCCCTGGAAGCAGGGTGGTAAGGTCTTCGCTGGTCACCAGAGGGCCTGGGAGGGTCCGGAAGGCTTCAGGCGCACCGAGCCGTCCTGGCTCCCCACCCGCAGCCTCGGACGACAGAGGCCTGTGCTGCTGCAGCCCAGGGGCGGCCATGGGGCCCTGAGGCTGGTGGAACTGGAAGGGCAGCTCCGGCGAGGCCTTCCTCATCTGGCAGTTAGACCTGGCTCTGTGGCAGGAGCCCAGCCAGAGCCAGGGACAGGACTGTGCCTCTTGCCATCCCAGGAATGGGAGGAACGCAGCCCCCCTCAGCTCCTCAGGTCTGAGCTACAGCTCTGGGCTCTCTTGCCAGCAGCCAGGCACCCCCACACCTGCCAAGGAAAGGCCCCAAGACTTACACGCCAAGGGCCTGCTGGAGCCAGGACTTGCAGTGAACCAGCTACCCAGTGGAACAGGGCGAAGACCTGCCCTCAGGAGCTTATGCTTCAGTGGGGAGCCAAGCAGTGGAACCTGTGAGGGGGAAGGTGTGGCATGTCAAGGGCCAGAGGAAGCTGCATGGGCGAGGCCAAGAGGGCCAGTGGGCTCCCTGGCCCTTCTTTGTGGTTGTGCCCACTTCTCTAACCACCTGCCTGCCTCAGGCACTGGGAGATGCCCACTCCAGCACTGGGAGCAGCTGGGCCCTGGGTCTCTGAGGCCTGGCCCAATGTCACCGTGGTCCTGGGCTGAGGCTGTGCCCTTGGCCTCTGCGGCAGGCCCTGCACCCCATGGAGAACTACCTCCACTCCTCATCCTGCAGAGTGGCTATGCTGGCAGTTCTGCACCAGCAAACTGACTGTGAGAACGGAAACAGGGAAACCTTCTCAGTTTCTGGTCTGTGGAGGAAAAAAGACAAGGAATGCCACGTTTTCAATTTTCCCCTGTATGTAATGTTTAGTTTATATAAATGAACTAATATTTTCCTGGAGAGCAAAAATCATAAAGAACGTTGACCCCCAGAGAGGGCAAGTAATGTTTGTGTGTGCCTTGGAACTGGTGAAGACATTTCCAGATCTTGTTAGTCCCACCCCCACGCGGCTTAGACAACTGGCAGGT